AAAAAAGCACCATAGACTGGACGGCTCAGCAACAGAAAATTACTTCGTGTGGTTCTGGAAGCTGGGAAATCCATGATCAAGGTGCTGGCAAGGTATGTTTTATTCTGAGGCCTCTTCTCATAGCTTATAGGCAGCCACCATGTCACTGTGTACTCAAGGGGAAGAGAAAGCAAGCCTGCTCTGTGGTGTCTCTTCTTATAAGGGCACTAGTCCTATCATGAGGACCCTGCACTCATGAACTTAGCTAACCTTAATTACCTCCCTGAGGCCCCATACCCAAATACTATCACTTTAGGAGTTAGGGCTTCAACATATGAATTTGTGGGGGTGGGAGGAGACACAAACATTCAGTCTATAAACAATAAGTAATTTGTCCAAAGTTCTCATAGCTAGTAAGTGCAGAGTCTGCAATAAAATCTAGGTTGTTTTTCACTCCAAAGTTTGTGTCGAAATTTTGGAAAAATGGACTTGAGGAGTGATCGAATTTAGAAGGTAAGAGAGAAGGAGGGATAAAAAAAACTGAGTTTTGGGTTGCCAGTAAAGTGCTTGATGAAAACTGGAAATTTGTGAGGTTAAGCTAGCTTGGAGAACAAAATGAGTTTATTGTGGAAGATGGAAAGTTGGAGTTGATGCAGATGGCTTATAGACTGATGGAACTCTGGTGATTTAAGCTCTCAGATCTAAAGTGTTGAAAGTCATCTGCATGGAGGTGGTGATGAAAGTCTGAAGACAGCAGTTCCCAGAGGAATGGGTAGAAATAAAGAGAAGAGCAGGCCTTGTGCCCTTTAAAATGTGTTAAGAGGGTAGATTTCATGGTTAAGCATTCTTACCACAGTTTAGTGTGAGAAGGACAAAGAGGGAGGGAAAGACGGAAAGGGGGAGAGAATGGGAGAAATGAGGGGGAAGGGGGAGAAAATGTCTTTTGGAATTCTCAAAGTTATTTGTTTGGTGAAATAGAATGGCCAAGGAAAGCAATAGAGGAGCAATTAGAGGAGAGAAACTGTTGAGTTTTTTAGAGGGGAGGGATGTTGGTGTCTGTGCCTCTGAAGCCTGTTCATTGAGGGGAGTTTTAGGAAGAAGAGGGTGGTTGAATGCAACTAATACAATAGTGTTGGTTAAAGAGAATGACAGCTGGTACTGGATGGTTGTAATATTGTGATTCGGTGGAAAACAACAACAACAACAACATAGGATTAAACAGAGATCTAAAAAGTGCAGGTTCCAGACTGTTAGATTTCACAGGCCAATAATATTTCAAAAACTAAGGGGACTAAACAGGATCATTAAAAACACCATAGTCTCTTATCAACCTCATTTTCATAAAAGGAAAAAGCCTTTTAACATATATTTAGAAGGTCATAATCGTAGGGTAAGGGATGGTTTTGATGTGAACTGGCACAAAGTCAGTCCCCAAAGGGGACAGATCGGAGAACTTCCATTTGGGAACCATTGAAACAACATTTATGGTATCTCCTGTAACTTACACTCCCCCTAAGTCTGGTATATTACTGTTTTTAAAACCACCTTTTGTTTCCTCAAAGCACCAAAGAGGACATTTCAGGAAGTTTAGTAGATCCATATTCACATAATGAAGGCAGATTAAAATTAACCAAGTGGTGCTGCTTGAAAGTGAACATATTAGTCACTCAGTTGATCTGACTCTTTGCAATTCCATGGACTGTAGCCCACCAGGCTCCTCTGTCCATGGGATTCTCCAGGCAAGAATACTGGAGTGAGTAGCTATTCTCTTTTCCAGGGATCTTCCTGACCCAGGAATCAAACCCAGGTCCCCCACACTGCAGGCAGATTCTTTACCATCTGAGCCCTCAGGGGATGCTTGGGGAATATTCTTCCTGATGAAAGCAACTCTCCTTGTTGAGGAGAGAGTGGGATTGTAGAAGTAATAATACTTTGCTCCATTAAATTATAGTTGAATGTTCACTCATAGCTAGGAGAAAAATCATGGGTTCCTTATTTCTTGGCTTTCAAGGTACATTCAGTTTCCAAAGGAAATCAAGGCTTCTGATAATTCTCCAGGTCCTACAACCCTTTTTGTGATGAAAAGACAACCCTAATAATTCTGTGACATAGCTCCTGAAATATTATCATCTTCTACCTTCTGTCTGCCTGCCCCAAGCAAAACTGAGTATTGGAAGCTTGACTTCATCACCAGAGTCATAGGAACTGAACAAACTCAGAACTGGGCACACCTTAAGGACTGGGGCTGGCTTGGAGAAATAAAAGAAAAAGGCACTAACTGTATTGTGAGTCAGTGCAGCAGAGGCTCAAATGGAATGTTTACATGGGGAACCTGAAGGTTTATTATACAAAACAGTTTTCTGCCGGTGTGAGAAAAATAGACACTAATTATGCAAGCTCAAATAACAACAACAAAAATGTATAATGCATTGAAATCTGTTTTGATTTAAAAAAATAAATAGCTCTTAGACAGACACTGAAATGAACAGATTTCAGTGCCAGAAAAGATAAATTAGCCACCCACTCCACACAAAATATTATCCTTTATCTATAGCGTACATTTCTATTGGTTCTGCAATTATATTTGGTAATGATTTTTTCTCACCAACTGTTCTTTTAATTTTGAAAATGCTGTCGTTTTTCAAATATCTTAATTGGTGTGATTTACAAAAAGTGGACATTTTTAAGTTCTTAGAGAAAGCTTGAAGAGGTCAAAATAACACTGTGATGATGCTAATGAAACCACCAACACGAAAAACATTTCCCCAGTCGGTACTCTTTGTCATCAGTATCCTGTTAAACATATTTACAAAGGCAATACTTAAGTTTATATCCTTTTATTGTGCAATATAAAATATATATAGAAAAGTACACATCAGGCGTACACAGCTTAATGAGTATTTATGAGGCAACTCAGGTAACCACCATTCAGGTGAAGAAATTGAACACTGCTGATACACAGAAGTTCCAGTGTTTCTATTTCCCATTGCAGCCCCATTGTATCTATATATTCCTCTTTAGAAATAGCAGATATTTACCTTTTTAAATAATCCCTTGCTTTTTAAAAAGTTATACTCCATAGATATGCATCCCTAAACAATTTGGTTTTGTCTCTTTTTGAATTTATATCTCTGACTTCTCTTAAAAGGATTTTCTTTTTGTCTTTGGTTCTCAGAAGTTTTCCAAAGATATATTTTGGAGTTGGTTGCAGGTCATGAATCTTCGGTTGGTTTTGGAAAATTCTCAGCTATAAGCTCTTCAAATATCACTTCTGCTCCATTCTCTCTTCCCCCTCATTCTGAACTATAGTTACACTCTTCTGTAGGGCTAGTTCTTCCCTGCCCCTTGGATGAAATCACAGACAATTCTGTCTTTTCTATGTCTTTTCAGGTAATGAAGTCTTCTGGTCATTTTAGTCCTTAAAATATTTATAGAAGTATAATGTTCATGTAATAGTAAGTAAGTTCTAACTTCTTTTAAAAAAATAAGTTTTGTTGAGGTCTAACTTACACACCGTAAAATCCATCCACTGTAAATGTACAGTTTGATGGTATTTAGTAGATCTATGCAGTTGTGAAACCATCAACATATCCCAGTTTCAGAGCATGCCCATCATCTTGAGAAGTCATTTGTGCTCATTTACAGTCAGTCCCCATCCTGCCTCCAGCTCCAGGCAACCTCTCATCTGCTTTCTTAGTATGTTTCTGAAACTCCTTTATGGTTTTGCAGATAGCTATATCTATCTATCTACATCAGAAATTTGCTCTTTTATGTTGCTGAATGGGATTCTGTTGTGTACCACATTATGTTCATCTAGTCACCAATGATGGAAATTGGGATTATTTCCAGTTTGGGGCTACTCTGAATAAGCTGCTGTGATCATTTACATAAAAGTCTATGTATTGACATATGGTTTTGTTTCTCTGAAGTATATAGAAGGGGTTGGAATGGCTGAGTGATATAGTAAGTTTATGCTTAACTTTGTAAGAAACTGACAAATGCTTTCCAAAGCTGCCATACCAATTTACATTCCTACCAGCAATGTAGGAGCATTCTCTACATCCTTGGTAACAGTTGTTATTGCCTTCATCAATAGCTGTTTTAATGAATTAGTAATGGTATTTTACTGTCACTTTATTTTGCATTTTCCTAGTGACCCACTCCAGTATTCTTGCCTGGAGAATTCCATGGACAGAGGAGCCTGGCAGGCTATAGTTCACAGGGTTGCAAAGAGTTGGACACAACTGAGCAACTAACACTTTCACACTTTCAGTGACAAATATTGTTGAGCATCTTTACTTATTAGCTGTTCATGTGTCCTCTCTGATGAAGTGTCATTTCAGATCATTTGCCCATTTGTTAATTGAGTTGTTTGTCTTCTTATTGAAATATGAGGATATATGTACACACACAAGTACATACATATATAAAAACAGACAGATGCTGGTTATACCTCCTTTATGAGATATAAGATTTACAAACATTTTTTCTCAACGTTTTCATTTTCTTAATATCTTTTGGAGAACAAATCTTTCTAATTTTGATAAAGTCCAGTTTATTACTTGTTTTCTTTATGGATCATGTTTTTGGTGTCATGTCTAAGAAACTGAGGAGCTGTCAGATGAGTAAAAGATAACTAGGAAATCATAGTGTTAGGAAAACAGGGAAAATAAAATTTTTAGGAAGGAGGAGGATGATCGCTAGTACTAAAGCCTGCAAAAGGTTCAGAAAGGATGAATGAGGTGAACAGGTTTATAAGTTTGGAGAATAATAGTAATAATACTGCTAACTGATATTTATGATACTTATTTTATGCCAGACCCTATACTAAATGTGGTCTCATTTCTAGTTTTAGTAAGTAGATAGAAATTAGATGTTTTCCTTGAGTTCTGATATCAACACATTTTCTGCTCATACCTCTAAAAATATTGATTCAGAGAGTATAGCTTAGGATGTAGAGATGGAAAGTTGTATTAAACTTGAGCTATACAATGTATTAGTTATGGGCAAGCTACTTACCTTTTTTTTTAACCTGTTGCCTCACTTGTAAAGTAGGAATAATCATTACTACTTTGTGGGACAGTCCTGTCATTAGATTTTTTTTTTGTCATTAGATATTGTAGCAAACCACCAGGCATATTGATTGGTCCATAGTACATGCTCTAGAATGGAAGTTGTAATTACTAGTTGACACAATCAGATAAAGATCCAAAAATGTTTCATAAACTGTTATACTCTATAGTATATATTATTCATACTATTTAGTATTTTTTGAAATCATAATATATATGTAATATATTGTCCTATTTTAATTTTTTAAAATCTTGCACATAAAGTTCTTGAATTTTTCTCCTTTTTTCATAACCCAAAGATTATAACCAATGCTTTTTTAAAAACAGCTTTACTAAGATATGATCCACATGCCATGTAAAGCATCCATTTTAAAGTGTACAGTTCAGTGATTTTTAATATACACCCGGAATTGAATCAATTTTAGAACAGTTTCCTCACCCTCCAAAAGAAACTCTGTATCCATAGTAGACTCTCCATTAACCCCTTATGTACCCTATCCCTAGGCAATAACTGATCAACTTTCTGTCTTTATAGATTCACCTATTTTGGGATATTTCATGAAGGGGAATCATACAGTATGTGATCTTTTCTGATTGACTTACCTTAAAGAAAACCAGAGATAATAGTTAAAGTAGTAAAACTGGCTTTTATTCAAGAACAGTTGTAATAGGGGAAAAGAGGCCTCAGTATTGAACTAAGCTGAATTCTGAATACAACCTGGACAGTGGGGATTTAGAGCTAAGGAGCAGGTTGCAGGTCGTGGTGGTGCTGGGGAGAACTAGTGGATAAAAAATTACAAGTGGAGCCACCAAAGGTAGGGAAGTGTCTTACTAAACTGAACTAACAGGAGTGTCTGAAGGTAGACCACAGTGGACAGATATCACATGAGGGATGGTGGGGAGTGAGGAATTTGATCAGATATTGAAGTTGATCATATATTGAGGATGAGAATTCTGGCTCAGAATCCATCTAAAACTGGGTTATGAGGTGTAAGGACAGGGCACTAAGATGAGGCTTAATAAAAGAGAGGCTTAGAGGAGCCTCACTGAAGTTTGGTCAAGGAGGGTGTCTTGGTCATTTCTTCTGCTTAGCATAAGGTTTCAAATTTCATCTATGGTATAGCATGTATCACTACTTCCTTCTGTTTCATTGTTGAATAATGTCCCATTGCATAGATAAACAAGATTTTATTTTTCCATTGTTTGCCTGGTTAGCGGGCATTTGAATTGCTTCCTTTTTTTTTTTTAACTTTTATCAATGATGCCACTGTTAAGCATTCATGTACAAGCTTTTGTGTAGACATGTGTTGTCACTTCTTTAGGGTATATATGTAAGGAGTGAAATTGCTGGGTCATACAATAACTGTATCTTTAATTTATTGAGAAACTACCAAACTATTTTTCAAAGTAGATATACCATCTTATATTCCACCAGTGGCAGATGTAGATTCAGTTTCTCCTCAACATTCCCAACGTTTGTTGTTAACTTGTCTTTTTTTTATTGTAGCCAGGCTTGTGGGTAGGAAGTGGTATCTCATTGTGGTTTTGGTTTGCATGTCCTGATGGCTAAATAATGTTGTTGTTCAGTCACTCAGTCATGACTGACTCTGCAATCCCATGGACTGCAGCGCACCAGGCTTCCCTGTCCTTCGCCATCTCCCGGAGCTTGCTCAAACTCATGTCCATCGAGTCGATGATGCCATCCAACCATCTCATCCCCTGTTGTCCCCTTCTCCTCCTGCCTTCAATCTTTCCCAGCATCAGGCTCTTTTCTAATGAGTCGATTCTTTGCATCAGGTGGCCAAAGGATTGGCACTTCAGCATCATTCCTTCTAATGATTATTCAGGATTGATTTCCTTTAGGATTGACTGGTTTGATCTCCTTGCAGTACAAGGGACTCTCAAGAGTCTTCTACAACACCAAAGCTCAAAAGCATCGATTCTTTGGCATGCAGCCTTCTTTATGGTCCAACTCTCACATCCGTACGTGACTTTTGGAAAAACCATAGCTTTGACTATGCAGACCTTTGCCAGCAAAGTAATGTCTCTGCTTTTTAATATACTGTCTAGGGTGGTCATAGCTTTCTTCCAAAGAGTAAATCATCTTTTCATTTCATGGCTACAGTCACCATCTGCAGTGATTTTGGAGCTTAAGAAAATAAAGTCTGTCACTGTTTCCATTATTTCCCCATCTATTTGCCATGAAGTGATGCAACCAGATGCCATGATCTCTGTTTTTTTAATGCTGAGTTTTAAGCCAGCTTTTTCACTCTCCTCTTTCACCTTCATCAAGAGGCTGTTTAGTTCCTCTTTGCTTTCTGCCATAAGGGTGGTGTCTTCTGCATATCTGAGGTTTTTGATATTTCTCCAGGCAGACTTAATTCCAGCTTGTGCTTCATCCAACCTGGCATTTTGCTTGATGTACTCTGCATATAAGTTAAATAAACAGGGGAATATACAGCCTTGACGTACTCCTTTCCCAATTTGGAAACAGTCTGTTGTTCCATGTCCAGTTCTAACTATTGCTTCTTGACCTGCATACAGATTTCTCAGGAGGCAGGTCAGGTGGTCTGGTATTCCCATCTCTTTAAGAATTTTCCACAGTTTGTCATGATCCACACAGTCAAAGGCTTAACGTGGTCAGTGAACAGAAGTGGATGTTTTTCTGGAATTCTCTTTCTTTATGTATGATCCAGTGAATGTTGGCAGTTTGATTTCTGGTTCCTCTGCCTTTTCTAAATCTAGCTTGAACATCTGGAAATTCTCGGTTCACATACTATTGAAGCCTGGCTTGGAGAATTTTGAGCATTAATTTGCTAGCGTGTGAGATGAGTGCAATTGTGCGGTAGTTTGAACATTCTTTGGCATTGCCTTTTTTGGGATTGAAATGAAAACTGGCCTTTTCCAGTCTTGTATCCATTTCCATATTTGCTGGTGTATTGAATGCAGCATTTTCACAGCATCATCTTTTAGGATTTGAAATAGCTCAGTTAGAATTCCATCACTTCCACTGGCTTTGTTTGTAGTGATGCTCCCTAAGGCCCACTTGACTTTGAACTCTAAGATGTCTGGCTCTAGGTGAGTGATCACACCATCGTGGTTATCTGGGTCATGAAGATCTTTTTTATATAGTTCTTCTGTGTATTCTTACACCTCTTCTTAATATCTTCTGCTTCTATTAGGTCCATACCATTTCTGTCCTTTATTGTGCCCATCTTTGCATGAAATGTTGTCTTGGTATCTCTAATTTTCTTGAAGATATCTCTAGTCTTTCCCATTCTTTTTCCTCAAATGATATTGAGTATTAACTAATACCTCTTTAACCCGAGTGAAGTACAGACAGGATCTGGGAGATTTAAAGATAGGAAACAATCTGAAAATGGCCTATTAGCATGTTGCTGTTGGAATGCATTTACCCAAACCTTCAAGGTCTTCCTGAAACAGATGTGAACAGTGAAGGCAAGTGGATTTATTCATTCCCTTCAGCCTCTTTAATCTCGTCAATTTGTGTTCTAGGTCATTGTTTCTGATCTAATACCCATATTGATGAATGCCACTATGTATTACCTCACTCACACCCTGCCCAAAATTACAAAAATGAAGAAGACGAAAAGAGGGCTTGGTATCTCAGTAAGAGACTCCCTAGAAATTTATGACTTTATCTAATAAAATAAGTGCAATCATGTATCATTGTAGAATCTTGTATCATAGATCCAAAGCCCCTCTTCATAGTCACTGCTGCTACTGCTGCTAAGTCGCTTCAGTCGCATCCGACTCTGTGTGACCCCATAGACGGCAGCCCACCAGGCTCCCCTGTCCCTGAGATTCTCCAGGCAAGAACACGAGTGGGGTGCCATTTCCCTCTCCAATGCATGAAAGTGAAAAGTGAAAGTGAAGTTGCTCAGTCGTGTCTGACTCTTAGCGACCCCATGGACTGCAGCCCACCAGGCTCCTCCATCCATGGGGTTTTCCAGGCAAGAGTAAGGGAGTGGGCTGCCATCACCTTCTCCTCATAGTCACTAATAAATGAAAAAAAAAATTCCCTCTTCTATTTGTGTGGGCATGGATGAACAAGCTTTTACTATGAAAAGCTGAATAGTAAATATTTATAACTTTGTGAAAAATAGAGTTTCCATTTTAGTTACTGAGCCCTGCAGTTGTATATAAGAGCAAAAGCAACCATAGACAGTATATAAGCAAATGGATCTAATTGCATTCTAATAAAACTTTATTTGCAAAAACAGGCATTGGGCTGAATTTGGTCCATAGGCTCCAATTTGCAGATCTCTGATGTAGAAGAAAATGGGGTCTTCTTGGGAAGATATCTTTCTGTGATAACTTTAAAAATGGATAAGAGTTAACGATTTTTTATTTTTTCTGCATGGATGTTTTACTTGCCTTCTTACTACCCTGGGTGGGTCAACTGATTTATTTTGCAGACTTATTTGTCTCTTTATTTTATTTTATTTTTTTTGCTGTTGGCTTTTTTGTTTTTATCTTTTTTTGGCCGTGTTATGTGACTTATGGGATTTTTACTTTACTAGGTATTGAACCCAAGCCCTCAGTGAGAACATGGAGTCCTAATCACGAAACTGCCAGGGGAGTCCCCGTCTCTTTCTCTTTTTCAATTTTATTTTCTTATTGCTTGGACAGTCTCTTTGAGACATTTAAAACTAGATTAGAGAAAATTTCCCAGTCACTTCTAGGAACAATTATTTTCATTATCAACTACTTCTGTTAAGTCTGAGATCACAGAAACATTTATTTACTTATTCCATTAATTTCATCAGTTATTTTTGATCAGCTTAAACTCTTTCATTTGTTTCTCTTATTTCTGTTACAGAGAAAGAGCTCATAAAATGATACTAGTTATTGAATGATATAATAGGACAGCTAACTAGTGGAAAAATTTTTTATACCTCATTATTGTGTCTAGATTACTACAGCTGTTGTCTTCAAAAATACCAGATTAACTGAATCAAAATTTGGAGTAAAGCAGAAGCATGAAGTGAATAAACTTTTGGGGTGAGAGGCTGGACTGGGGCATGTTTTTGAGGAATTGCTGGACAATGTCTGTAATCTTTTCTAGTGTACTTTCTAGCTACATAACCCAATAAAATCCCCTTGGGCTTAAGCTGGTCTAGATGCATTTCTTTCCACTTAAAGAATCTTAGCTAAAAGAGAGGATTTCCTATTGGTATTGAGATTCAAAGGATAATAGATAGACAAGGGAGGGATTGGGGTCCAGGCAGAGGAAAGAGCAGGTGCAAACAAATGACAAGGACTTTCTTAGTGCTGGAAATTAGAGTAGAAAGGTATTGAGGTAGGAGATAAGGCTGGAAATGCGGACCAAATCGTGACGGCCATGCCTTTCTGAAGTGTTTGAAGTGTATCCTGTATGCAGTGTTGATGTGTTAGCCTTTCAGTTGTGTCTGACTCTTTGTGACCCCATGGACTGGGGCCTGCCAGACATGCAGTGAGGAGCCATTAAAGAATTTTGAGCAAGGGAGCAAGATGAGCAGATGTGGGCTAGGCTATTTGTTCTAATGGTGGCATGATGGAACCAGAATGGAGGAAAGACCACCAGTTGTAGGTTAGTTGCTGCTGTCTAGGTAAGATATGAAAGCTGGAGCCAGGACACTGAGGGTGGGAATGGGGAGAAGAAAATATGTCTGAAAAGTATTAAGGATGAAGATTTAACAGTGGTCGAGTGACTAGGGTTAGGGTTAGAGTGGGATGAATAAAAGATGCGAGAATAAAAGAACAGGGAGGAATCTGGATGGTTGTCAGTTTTCTGGCTTGGACAGCTGTATGAATAAAGGTACTCATCATCAAGATGATAGGAAATGAGGTATATGTGTGTGGAGGAATTGGTGTGGGAAGCGAGGACAATGGGAAGATAGACAATGAGTTTAATTTTGGATAGGTTGAAGTAAAGGTTCATGGGTTATTCATTTGGCTTTTGTGGGAGGCAGTTGGGTAATCAACGGCAAACTGTGGTGATTGAAGAGGGTGCTCAGAAAGAGTTTGTGCTCAGAAAAGAAGAGGTGCTGGACCATGGGGACATAGCCATTTAAAAATTGTGGTCAGAAGGAGCAGCCAGGGAAGGAAGAGAAATAACCAGGGGGATGTAATAACCAAAATCAAGAGATGGAATAATTCTCAGAATGATAAAGAAATTAAGGACATTAGATATTCCAGGGAGGGCAAGCTTTATAAGAGTTGAAAAGAATACATTGAATCCGGATACTGGTAGATAACTGGTGATAAGTGCAAAAAAATGGTTTCAGGGGCTACATGAAGAAAAGGCCCAGACTGCAAAGCTCTGAGGAGGAGTCAGGGATGATATAGCCATTTTTGACCAATTTTTCTCTATTTCACTGTGAAGGACAAGAGGAAAAATAGCCTAGGAATTGGGAGCGCATAAGCCTAGGAGTGTTAGTTGTTTTTCACTTATAGAAGAGATAAAGCATGTTCATGTGCTACAAAGAAGGAGTAAATAGAGAAGAAAAGGATGAAGATAAAGGAGAGAGAAGGAATGTTAATAGAGCAAGGGCCAAGAGGATGGAGAGGAGGATTGGATCCAGAGAACAGGGAAATGGATGAGTAATGGATGAAGTAGTTGACCTGGTTCAGTTTAGTTCAGTTGCTCAGTCGTGTCCGATTCTTTGTGATCCCGTGGACTGCAACACGCCAGGCTTCCCCTCCCTTTTGGGCCTCCCTCCCATACCCCTCCCTATCCCACCCCCCTAGGTTGATACAGAGCCCTGTTTGAGTTTGCTGAGCCATAGAGCAAATTCCCGTTGGCTATCTATTTTACACATGGTAATGTAAGTTTCCATGTTACTGTCTCCATACATCTCACCCTCTCCTCCCCTCTCCCCATGTCCATAAGTCTATTCTCTATGACCAGACATAGGATTCTTGACTGAGTTTTTTTCTTTGACTACTTAGAATATATTGATCCACTGTCTTCCGGTCTCCAAAGTTTCGGATGAGAAAATCTGTTTACAATCTTACTGAAGATCTCTTGATTATAATGAGTGCTTCTCTCTTGCTGCTTTCAAGATTCTCTCTTTGTCTCTGTCTTTCAAAAGTTTGATTATGATGTGTCTTGGTCTGGGTCTTTTCAAATTCATTTTACTTGAAGTCATTGAGATACTTGAATGTTTATATTCACATCCTTCATCAAATTTAGTATGTTTTCAGCCACTTTTTTCCCCCGATATTTGTAATCACTTTCTAATTTCCCCCATACATGCAGTTGTTTCTGAATGTCCTAGTTTGGTAATACCTGGTTCTCAAAAGGATTAAAAAAGAAAAATGACAGAGATAAGAGGATGGGCACCAACCTTTTAAGTCCCCCAGGAATCACTTGGGCCACAGGAAGAAGGGATTGCAACAGTGTAGGGTGATGCAACAATAGGAGCTGCTCACCTCTTTACACAGTCAGCAAACAGCCAGAACTCGGATCACTCATATTTGGAGGACAGGGTCCTTTTTGCTCACCTTAACTCCTGCAAGCTCTGTGCAGGCTGCTCCAGGAATGCATGTGCAACTTGCCTGACACATGGCTGGGGGAGGGGGGGGATAAGTAGCTACTACTGTGGTAATAGCTGTAATGGACTGAAATGGACCACAGTTTACCATCCATCATCCCCTGGAGGTTGCAAAACTTCAGCATACTCCAGGATTCCGAAATAGTTTTACCAGACAGATTCTGCTGGTGCAATTGTTGTCTAGGTGGGGAGAGAGATTCCTGGTGCTTCCTTCCTCCTCTGCCATCTTCCCCAAAACCCTCTCCTTGTTTCTTGTCACATCATTGTGTGTTTATACAGTTCCATACTGTGCTCTTTTGTGGGCCTGCTAAATAAGGGGAAGATCCAGATGACTATTGTGAAGCTCATTTTAGCTAGAGAGACAGACATGAAAGAAATCTTGATCAGTACTAAGCAATCAATGTGTAAAAGTTGCTCAGTTGTGTCCGACTCTTTGCAACCCCATGGACTGTAGCCTGCCAGGTTCCTCTGTCCATGGAATTCTCCAGGCAAGAGTACTGGAGTGGGTAGTCATTCCTTTCTCCAGGGCATCTTCCTGACCCAGGGATCGAACTCAGGTTCGATTGCAGTGCAGGTGGATTCTTTACCTTCTGAGCCACCACCAAGCAATCAATAATGCATAACGAAGTACAAGAGTTTTGACAGGAATGGCCAGAAAATGACACTCTTACTCTTGCTTGTCTCTTCTTAATCTACACCAAACAATGGTATCTAATTACAGTGTCTTTTCTCTGACCCAGTCTTGGGCACATAATTCATCTCAGGGTTTTAGGAAGTCTCTAATAGTTGATGAGTTGGTGCTTGAGTGGAAAGGTATTTGTCATCCCTCATTTATGGCAGAGATGGTAAGTACCATGAGACCTAGAAGAAAGTTATACTGTTTCCTGGAATAAATTGTGTTTTTCAAGGAAAAGGACAATATGTTCTATTTTTTTTAGTACTTTCCACACCATTACAATCAGAGACTCAATTATGACCTATTAAATTAACTTAATAATTTTAAGAGATCTCATTGTAAGGAAATAAGTCAACTTAAAATATATTAACATATTGTTTATAGCACTTCTGTAAGTGCCAGAGAAAAGTCATGGTCTTTAAATGAGTTTGTTCCAGCATCTGTAGCTTTTTTTCCCCTTGCCATTTAAACTCATTTTCTATTATTTTCTTTGTTCTTATGGAAGACAGAAAACAGCTGGTCAGCATCCGCTGCTGATACTTGTTAGATGCCTTCTTAAAAGGCTTTTAGCTTGAGGACATTATGCTAAGTGAAGTAAACCAGTCACAAAAGACAAATACTGTATGGTCCACCTCAGTCAGGTACCTAGGGCAGTCATGCTCACAGGACAGAAAGTAGAATGGTGGGTGCCAGGGCCTGGGGAGAGGGGGCAATGGGAAGTTAGTGTTAATGGGTACAGAGTTTCCATTTTACGAGATGAAGAGAGTTCTTTGGACGCAGCTATGGCAGCACAATAATGTGAATATACTTCACGCTGCTGAAGTAAACATTTAAAAATAATTTAGATGGTAAAATTCTTATTCCCTACATGCATAGCAAGGCGTATCTTTACCGTATGGGGATATCAGAGAAGCCGTGACCCAGCAACCTCCTCCTCCACAACATTCTTTGCTCGACTTCCATTTGCCTCTCATCTTTCTTTATGGCCCTTTTTGTGTCCTTTCAGAAACTTTTGCTCTCTCCTCTGGACCATCTTCAGGCCATCCACAAGCCAGATGTAGTTTTGGGGAAATGGCAGCACCAGTGCAGTGGGGAGGCTGTTTCAGAGGGCCTCAGGTTTTCTGCAGGCTGACGGTTGCTGTGTTTGCTTGAAGACAGCCTGCATTGCCCGTGGTTTGTACTAATCCATAGACGTGGCTTCAGTTCTGTAAGGTTGGGGTGGATGAATTAGGTGAAGTCTAATGGAATTTACAGCTCACCCTTTCCTCGGGACTTTTTTATTGTGAACTTATTAACATTGTTATCATTTGGAAATATATGTAATGAAATGTCATACCTTGGTTTTTCAAAATTATGTATTTAATACAAACCAAAAGCACCAAACTCTGTCTTTCCATTTTTCCCATCTCTTTTCATAACTGAACTTCACCCTGTTGGAATGATTTTTTTGAAAACAAAGCCCTCGCTTTTTGATTAAGGACTGGGGTTCCTAAGTAAGAGCACCTGAATACAATTGGGCATTATGCTAATTAGCTTGCTTTCCTTTATCCCTACCTGCACTGAGCTGAGAGTCCTTAATTTCCTTGTAACCTCCACCTAGATGTTACAGGTTGCTGGCCTCACTGGGCATGCCTCATCAGTTAAGTAGTTCAGCTGGCTTAGTTTTAAATCTCTCTCCTTTGCCAGTCTGTAGCAGAAGGGCCTTTGGGTGAAGATGTAGAAACTTGGAGAGGAGTTCTTACCCTGTTACCGTAAGTGTGTGACCATTTTTCTGATTCTTCAAGGGAAGAAAAATCACAGAGTGGAGGTTTGCTCTTGTCTTGTGACCTGACAGCACTGTTGTTGGTTTGGGGCAGTGTTTGCTTTCACTGTTCAGCTGTGTCTGTGAGGAGGAGAGAAGTTTGGGGAGGCATTAGAGTAAGGATATTGAGTAGAGTAAGAGATTAAGATTTGTCCACTACCTGCCTGCTCCAAAATAATGTCCCTAGAAACCTAACCTGAACATCATGGTTCTAAGACACGATGTTATACTAGTTAGAAATCGCACGTATGTGTGTGTGTGCATATGTATTACCTCTTTAGTCCACCATCCAGAAGGCTTTCCCATGCTCTTTCCCAGCCACTAACTTCCCAAAGGTTATGTGGAATCATTCGATGGTGTTGGCGTCCAACCCGTTGGCGTACACTGTAAAAAAATGTGGCTTTAATTTTGGTGGACCAATCACATCCCAGGATTTAAGGGACTTTGGATCTGTGCTGGTATCTAGTATTCAGGGTGCTGAAAGGTGACACTGGTGGAACTGCTGGAAAAGTCAGATGTGGTGTCTGTGCTGGGTCACAGTTTTGCCCTGTACCAAAAGAGGTTAGATGCTACCACTGATTTTATAGAAGTTGATGTTGGTCTGGAGCTTGACACTGTGCTGGTGCCATGCTGTCTGCTGGCCTTTCACAGGGAATTCTGGCCTTCTTAATTTGACTTCATATTTTGTGGATGACCCATGTGTTTTGGACAGTGTACTGCCTGTGTGGCAGAGTTGATTGGCGCCATTGGGCTCTGTGTTACCAGAAAGCATTGCTGGTCGAATCCTTACATGAGCTGTCGGCTGCATGACCATTACTGGTCTTCAGTCGTTACCAAGCGGATGCCCCAAATGAGCCTGGATCAGTTGTTTGTATTCCAGTCTATAAACTGTCAACAAAACAGGGCAGTTTCAGAGTGTCTTGACAATCTCAGTAGCTTAAGGCGAAGATTGTTTCCCTGATGTCTGGAAATGTGCAAACTTGTCCTCCTGAGGGCAGTGGCATTGTGTTGATTAAATAGAACGTATCACACCATGGTGGTGGTGTACTGATGAAGTTAGAGTACTCTGAATTTCGCACATGCAGTCAGATGATGCTGGGGAAGATTTTCATGCTGGCAAATGAATCACAGAAGCTGTTCCACAGCCCCTAGCAAAATGTAAGCCAGTGAATATGCACTTGAAATATGTGTGAATGAATGTGTGAACAAATGAACAAATTTAATTAGTAGCTCTCAAAGTCTTGTCCTGAAATTATATTAAAAATCTCCAGAAAGCCTTGATACCATCCCTTGCCATTTTCTTCTACCTGTTACGTAGCAAATATCACACTGCCCAACTGTTTTGAAGTCTGAAGCTACAGGATGTTTTTCAGCAACTGATACTGAGAAAGTAAACCAGGAGACTTTTTTTCCGGGGTGTTAGAGAGGAAAAGAGAATGACTTCCAGTGCCTTCTGATAATTTAACTGAGATTGGAGGAGGGCTACTCGTCTCAACATTGCAGAAATTAGCAAAACATCTCTGAGAACTCAGGAGAGTAAAATTCAGTAGTAACTCACACATGGGAATGATCAGCTCAAAATTCAGTACCATATGCACATGGGAATGATCAGCTCAAAATTCAGTACCATATGTGCGTCACTGCTAGACTTTACTCTGTTGATGTATCAAGGAAAATATTGTTTTCAGAAGGTTGTTACAAAATTTGAAACTGGTGGAGAGAGAGACTGCAGGAAGAGCTTTCTCTCCCTGTGAAAGGGCACAGCCACTTAAGAGGTGTCAGAAAAATAATACATTCAGAGGTTGAGTCCCTAGGGAAAAGCCAACACATCAGTGGCGATACTGTAAGAAATAAGGGCCAAAGCAAAGGACAGGGAAGAGTCAGAAACAACATGCCATCCTTTTCAGCGAATTTATTGCACATGGAAGGGATGCAGGAAGGGATGTTCATCCTGAACACTAGCGAAGAAGAGAGAGGTAGATGATTTCAGATCGGTGTAAAACAGACTTTAAATACCACGTTAGGGGCTTCCCATTGGCTCAGTCTGCCTGCAACGCAGGAGCTGCAGAAGACACAAGTTCAGTAGTCGGGAAGATCCCCTGCAGGAGGGCGTGGCCGCCCACTCCAGTATTCTTGCCTGGAGAATCCCATGGACGGAGGAGCCTGGTGGGTTACAGTCCATAGGGTCACAGAGTCGGACAAGACTGAGCAACTGAGCATGCGTGCCCCACATAAGGATCAAATCCTCATAGAAGACAGGTCTGCTTTCCACTGGAGGGCAGTTGTTTTTCTTCTTTCTGTTGTTTCAGTCATTATGGTCACAAGGGTTAACAGGTTTGAAAGAGTGAGAAGTAGTGCCGCCTATTTGTTTGTCTTCAGTAATTTCCTCTGTAATGGTAAACAAAACTTTCCATTATGTGTGTTACTTGGGATCTTTTAAAAATCAAAGGAAACAGTGGGCAGTCCAGGTGACATGGGAATAATCGGGGCTTGTATCCGAAAAGGCTCCCGCCCCAGCAGGCGCATCCTGGGTTCCATTACTGGCTGTCCCTCGCTCCCCTGTTTGAAGCGGCTGGGCGGACTGCCTTCGCCTGGAAGCCGATAAGACACGCTCATGGCACGCTCTCATAGTTTTCCAAGAAAAATAGCAGAGAATGCCCTTACGTTGAGGTGCAGGAGTTGCTGACTGGCAGGGCCTCTCAAGAATCAGCAGGCCCACATTTTTGCCTCCTCGTGTTCCCAAGTTGATTCGCAGCTCAAAATGAGTAAAAACCGATGTGTTTTTGTAAATCAACAAGTACAGACCCTCCACTCCTTCTTTAAATGTTGATGTGCCAATTTAAAAATATTCGCCTCTGCTCAGAAAATTACTCTGCTGACAGTGTTTGCAAGAAAGGGATTGTCCAAACACTCGAAGTAGATAGTTACAGCTTTGTTTATGTTTGTTCATATTAATGATAACTCAGATAATAATTCTTGAGCAGCACTATGAGCCAGGCTCTGTGGTTGGTACAGGGATCAGGGCAGTAAATGAGTGTCTACCCAAAGAAGCTTTGATATTTAAGGACAGGACATGGTTATTTTCGAGGTGACATTGCATAGAAAAACTGAACACTGGCAGTGTGGGTGTAAAAACGTTGTGTGGCATTATGTTTTGTGTATAATTTCTCAGAGCTTTTCTTTTTATCGTTTTGTTGGGGAAGAGTATTTAATGTCAAAATTACTATTCTGAGCGAACATAATTAAAGAAGAGAAAACTGAAACTGCTGAAGTTTGTGATTGTAGCAGAAGAATTTTTTTTTGGGTGTCTGCCTTACAGAGCACATCTTATGCATTCTTATTGCAGGAAAATTTAGCTTTGGTCTTCTCTCTTAGAGTCACTCATTTTGTGTTTTTGGATTGAGGAACAGCCATTTGTAGGGGATGTTTCTGTACTTCTAATTCAAGCAGACGTACATACACAAAGCATAGTCTTTATACATCGTTCATGATTGCTTCCCGCAAAGTTGTATGCTATTATTTTGCAGAGAGCAGCTGTACTTTAGAACAGCATGGATTCTGTCACTGTTTTCCCAGGTTTATCTGAAATATCTCATTTGAGACTGAGTAGCAATGGAACCAGGTTTTGGTGGAGTGTACTTGTTTATAATCACTGTTCTCTTGGAGTGTTTTTCCTTTTCTTTTTTTTTTTTTTTTTTGGTATGTCCTTTTACCAGAAATCCTAGCCTCAAAACAAGTAGTTCTATTTTGATGTGTTTTACCTGGCAGCTGCCCTCTGCCTGCTTGCTCTGGACACTGTCAGGCTGTGTGTTTCTTTTCTGAGTATCATTTACTTGGTCAGCTTGCGTGTAAAGATACCCTCAACCCTGCGCTCTCATCCGCCTTTGTAGCCTCAATAAGAGCGAGCTTTGATTTGAGGAAGTTCTAAGTTGAGTGGGTGAGAGTAAGCTGGTGCTCTTTGAGCGCCGGGGCCGACACACGCCGAGCTCCATGCAGGTGCAGCTCTGTCCAGTTGCGAGTGCGTGGAGGGCTTATTTTTATGTCCCCAGCAAGCGCGCATAATCTTAGGTAAACAAACAGCCCTGCCAGAAGGGACATCCAACAGCTCTTCAAGGCAGAACAACAATTCTTGGCTCCTGCATCAGTAAAATTATCTATTTTCAAAACAATCCTTTAAAAAAAAGAAACCAACAAAGGGGATAGTGTTGTTTATGTAACTTTTTTGTAAGGTTATAAAAAGTTTTTCTCTCTGCGTACAAAATGGAAATGGTACGTGTTCCCAAGTCTGGAGAGTTTGTTTGGGAAGCTGTGCTATCTCTTGGGATTTTCCTTTGCTTATGATTTCAGCCTCTCTCCCTTGTGTAAAAAATAATTTTTTTAAATGTTTGGCTCTGAAAGTTCTTAGAATGGTTGTTGGGAGCTGGGTAAATGGGATGGCCTCTCTTGCCCCTGGGGGCTGTTCTGAGGCCCCATGATGGGGATAGGTAGGGCTAATCTCTGCCAAAGCGGGATGAGATGGGGCAGGCTGCTTGCAGCAGCTCCTGGCCTCTCTGGATGCCCACAGTGACTCATTTAGCTTGGGCTGAACACATTTTTATTTAGATTTCTTTTTTGTTATTGCTCATTGGCCATCAGCTTCCGCTAGTAGCCTATTAATTGTTGAAATTAGTATGACTGAAGCTCACCCTGACAGAGGGCAACACACAATATGTGTTGAGGGGAGGGAGGGACTTCATAATAGACTTCATGCAACCTTAAAAATGGAATTGAAAATGTAAAAATGCACAAATAAGAGATTCAAAACCCTTATGTGCTCAGAAGGCTACTATAGAGGGAAAAGCAAAGATGAAAGAAAGCAAAGGGCATGCTGCCATCTTAAACAAGGAAGGCAGAATAAATAAATTGCTGTGAAGGGATCTTTGTAGAGGGAAGAATGTTCAGAGAGGGCTACAGAGCTGACTCAGGGTCCAGGTGGAATGGACCACTGATGGGTTAGTGACTTCTCACCTAGCGCTAGGACCAGTGACAGCCAGGGGGTGTGAAATACGGGAGGTTGTGGAGTCCAGCCTCCTCACCAGGCACTCATGGGCTTCCAGTGGGTGCCATCCCCAGAATGCTGTGACCTGGGACTGGCCCCTTCAGGCAGGTGTCTGGGTCAGTCAGTGGGGACAGAAATGGCAAAGACATTATTTCTGTTTCAGGTCAGCTGTATCTATTAGCTGTATTTTGTTTGCTTGTTTGTTTTTCAGGGAGTAATTTAAGATCTGCAATCAAATTGTTGACTTTGCATCAGTGAGAAGCATTTCACAACAGATGTCAACTATATACCATTTTCTCATCTTGGCTTCAGGTTTAGGCTGGAACAGGTCTTGAGCCCCTTTGGGATCTGAGGGTATTTTATTTCTCTGTGTTTCTTGGCTTAGTGAGAGTTTTCAGATTATGTCTTAACTCGACTCATTTGTTCAGAGAGAATCTTCAGGACACAGTGAGGAATAAAGATACTGAGTCAAAGGTCATCTGTTGGTTAGGAATTTCTGGAAAACATAAAAAATTATGCTATTACTTTTGACTGTATGAGTAGAGTTTTAAATGTTATTTATTTTACATTTAAAAGTACATCTTTCTCTTCTTTGATTTTGGAGGACAGTTCTTATCTACCAAACATTAATTTCATACCTACTAAATTCTATCCTAGAGCAAAGTGTAGAGAGTGCCTGGTTTGTGTTGCCCATAGATTTGGCTAAGAGTTCCCTGAAGTGGGCTTTGATAAATGAGTAGGAGCTCCTCAGATGGAGACGGGGAAGGAGGACATGAAATGAACAACCTGCAAGGGACGATGACAGTTTCTGAGTGGTTAGAGCCAGTCAGGTGGTGGGGCAAGAGGATGCTGAAGACAGAGGAGCAGGCACTGTGCATTCATCTACAGTTCTTTATCAGAGTCGTGATGCGGGGGGTGTGGTAGACAGTTTTCACTCTTCTTGGCTGCCCAGAAGAGAATTAGGCTGGAAAGACAGTAGGGAGCCTGCTTCCTGTGTGAGAGGAGTTCCCCACCTTGAGAATGCAGGGTCTTCATCTCTGCAGAAGCTGAAAGTGTTATGTACTCTCTGTCCCAGTCGCCCATGCTGTTGAGGAGTGGGCATGTGACCTAGTCTCTCCCAATCAGATGTCTCCATTCCAGACCGTAATCATGACATGAAGAAACAGGGACCCCAAGAAAACTCCATTTCTGGAGATGGAGCTGTTCATTTCTAGAGGCAGCAGAGGGCAGGCCCCCGAGGGCCAATGCCTGGTGTCCACTGTGCTGAGGCAGTGGTGGAAGCCATAGTGGCTCTGCCCGGCATCAGCCATGATGCCTCACCATCACCCCAGCGCGGTTTGGGGCATGACTGCTGGCTACAGAGCCTCCAGACCTGGTTCTCCATCTCTCTAAGCTCTCCTGTGAGCAGGCCACCCCAGTTTTCTTTCTTTTCTTTCCTCTTTATTCTTTTCCCTTCTTTCCTTCCTTCTTTCCTGTCTTCCTTCCTTGTCATGTTTACTGAGGTATAACAGACAGTAAGATATACCCTTTTAAAGTTTATAATCCAATGAGTTTTGCCAAGTATATTCAGATGTGTAACCAGTATCATAAGGTACAGACCATTCCCATCACCTGATGAAGTTCCTTTATGCCCTCTTTGTAGTCAAGCCTCTCTCCCTGTTCCCAGCGCCCATCCCATCTCTGTTCTTGGAGGTTTGCCTTTTCCAAACCCTCATATAAATGAATCTTTCGGTATGAGGTTTTTGTGTCTGACTTTTTTTCCCACTTAGTATAATGCTTTTGAGATTCACACATGTTGTTGTATGTAACAGTTCATTCCTTTTGTTTTGTTGAATAATATTTGGTTTTATCACTATGTGTTTATCCATTCACCAGCTTATGGACATCTGTTTTTTCCAGTTTCTGCTTATTATATATAAACTGCTGTGAATGTTTATGTACAAGTCCTTGTACAGACATTTGTGTTTTTTTTTCCCTTAGATAAATACCTTGGAATGAAATCACTGGGTCATATAGTAAATATATGTTAAATTACAAAAGAAACTGCCAGATTGTTTTCCAAAGTGATCATTCCATTTTGCATTACAAGTTGCTCTGCACCCTCTATGGTGCTTGATAGTATCAGTGATATATATATATATGTATATATATATAATTATTTTAATCATTTAGATGTGTAGTAGTATCTCATGATAATTTTAATTTTTATGTTTTATAATATGCTTGTAAATGATACAGCTTTTAAATTTCAGTTTTCAATGGTTCATGACTAGTATACACAATTGATTTTTATAATTGATTTTGTATCCTGCAGCCTTGCTACACTCACTTAACAATTCTTATAGCTCTTTTTTTGTAGATTCTTTAAGATTATGTGTGCAGGTAATCTTGTCAACTGTGAATAAAACAGTTATATCTGCTCCTTTGTAACCTGTATGGTTTTATTTCCTTATTGCTTTGGCTAAGAGCTCTTAAAGATTTTTGAATCAGTGAGAGCAGATTTCATTTTTGTGAAGTGTGTACAGCTTGTATGGCTGCTTACAAGGCTCCTTCTTTTGTTGGGATATGTATTTACTTTTATACCTGACTTTGTGTGACCCTGTTTAAGAAAAAGAGGGAAAATTGTTAAAGTTTTCACAAAATCTGGCACCTCCTGCTCTCTGCTTCCTTGGATCACTGCTTTATTTATTTTGTTATCCTCTTAGACTTTTTGTAGTACTATTTTGATTCTTTTCTGGGCTTTAAAAAATTCTGATTAGACTCAAAAGAAAAAGAAATATCATTTTAGTCCATTTGAGATTATTGGATCTGGGTGTTCGATCAATTGATTCTTGGTCAGGACTCAAAACTTGCTCTTTGTGGCCCAGGGGAACTGTCACTAGGCCACAGATCACCAGTTGAGCTTCCTTTTTGTTTTGTCTGTGAGATGTTTTATTTAGTTCACACCTTTCTCATAGGTTTTAATTTTTTGCAATCTGATGTCTTTCCTCAGAATCATGGACTTTCAGTCTCATTTGGGCAGCATTCTATAACCTGCTGTCCTGGTTGATACATTGATGGAGATGTTTGCAATTTTGAAAATTAATGTGTTCCTATTGATATATTACTTTGTTATATTTATTGGGCCACCTGAAAGCTTTACTTCCTAGAAGAGGAAGAATTGAGTCTGTGGAGTTAGCAGGACTCTAGGATAGTTGGCTAATTAATTCTTGGACCATGTGGTTGTCCTCACCTCCTGCTTGCTTATTTTATGTGAGTAGCCCAGGCCTTGTTCTGCCCACAGTTCCTGTTGTCTGGGAACAGTTGATTTCTCACCGTTCTCTGAGTTGCTTTTCTTACCCAGGTGGGAACAAGTAAGTACATATACTTTATCTTATTTCTCTTTTTAATACTTTAAATATCATTTTCAGGGTTTTGTTTTGTTTGGACTTTTGACTGAGCTGGGTCTTCATTGCGGTGTGCAGGATCTTCTCCGGTTGTGGCATGTAGATTTCTCTCTTGTACCTCAAGGGCTTCTCATTGTGGTGTGCGGGCTTCTCTGGTTGCACTGAGCAGGCTTAGTTGCCCCATCGCATATGTGAATTTAGTTCCCCAACCAGGGATTGAACTCACCTCCATGCATTGGAAAGTAGATTCTTAACCACTGGACTACCAGGAAAGTCCCATTACATATACTTCATAAACAGATGTCCATTTAATAAAGAAGCAAAGTATCATATGTGTTAACATTATTAAAATAAAAAACTTAAATGTATCCTATTACAGTCATCATACTTGTGTATTTCAGCTACCTTTTTTCTACTTCTGCTGTTTGGAACTTTCCTTTTTGGATTGTCATCATCTCACAGTCTTTCCCAGATTCAACTTGTCCAAGGACAATAATAAAATGTCATGTTATTATTGATGCTTCAGAATGAGGTTGGTTGCCTTGTCCTATTCGCATGGCTGCTGATCTTTAAAGCCATCCAGCTTTCTGACAAGAGGATGTTCCAATGCCATTGAGCCTGATTTGTTTCCCCCAAGATGTGGACTTCGTGCCCCTCCTTTAAGTAGAGAACAGCACACATGAGGCTTACGAGAGTTGCTGATGGAAGCAGACCTACTTTGCGTGTGTGTGTGTGTGTGTGTGTGTGTGTGTATGGGCTTCCCAGGTGGCACTAGTGGTAAAGAACCTGCCTACCAATTCAGGAGACATAAGAGACACGGGTTCGATCCCTGGGTAGGAAAGATCCCCTGGTGAAGGGAATGGCAACCCACTTCAGTGTTCTTGCCTGGAGAATCCTCATGGACAGAGGAGCCTGGCTGGCTACAGTCCATAGGATAGTAAAGAGTCAGACATGATTGAAGCAACTTAGCACTCATGCATGTGTATGTGTATATATGTGTGTGTGTGTGTATAATTTCAGGTTCTTTTCCACTATAGGTTATTAGAAGATACTTAATATAATCCTTTTGCTATACAGTCTGTTTTATGGAGCAGACTTAAAAGAAAAGCGTTTGGTTTCTCACCACTAAGGATGATGCTAACTGTAGCTTTTTATATGTGTTCTTTACCTGTTTCAGACATGCCAGCTATACTAGCTTCAGTTCAGATCAGTTCAGTCACTCAGTCGTGTCCGACTCTTTGCAACCCTATGAATCACAGCACGCCAGGTCTCCCTGTCCATCACCAACTCCTGGAGTTTACTCAAACCCATGCCCATCGAGTCGGTGATGCCATCCAGCCATCTCATCCTCTGTCGTCCCCTTCTCCTCCTGCCCCCAATCCCTCCCAGCATCAGGGTCTTTTCAAATGAGTCAACTCTTCACATGAGGTGGCCAAAGTATTGGAGTTTCAGCTTCAGCATCTGTCCTTCCAATGAACACCCAGGACTGATATCCTTTATGATGGACTGGTTGGATCTCCTTGCAGTCCAAGGGACTCTCACGAGTCTTCTCCAACACTACAGTTCAAAAGCATCAATTTTTCGGCACTCGGCTTTCTTCACAGTCCAACTCTCTCATCCATACATGACCACTGGAAAAATCATAGCCTTGACTAGATGGACCTTTGTTGGCAAAGTAATGTCTCTGGTTTTTAATATGCTATCTAGGTTGGTCATAACTTTCCTTCCAAGGAGTAAGCGTCTTTTAATTTCATGGCTGCAGTCACCATCTGCAGTGATTCTGGAGCCCCCCAAAATAAAGTCTGACACTGTTTCCACTGTCTCCCCATCTATTTCCCATGAGGTGATGGAACCAGATGCCATGATCTTAGTTTTCTGAATGTTAAGCTTTAAGCCAACTTTTTCACTCTCCTCTTTCACTGTCATCAAAAGGCTTTTCAGTCCCTCTTCACTTTCTGCCATAAGGGTGGTATCATCTGCATATCTGAGGTTATTGATATTTCTCCCGGCAGTCTTGATTCCAGCTTGTGCTTCTTCCAGCCCAGCATTTCTCATGATGTACTCTGCATATAAGTTAAATAAGCAGGGTGACAATATACAGCCTTGACAT